AGAGTAATCTATTTTTGTCATGGCTGGACGATCAGACCCAACTTTTTTCATTTAGAAGTGTATGCAGGCTGCCTCCCAGATGGACAGCCATGGAGCGCAGCGACAGGAACCGCTGCTGTTTTTTTTTTAGAGACGGGACTATGTGCTACCACAGGCACAGAATATTTTTAGACAAGAATACCACTATAGGCACAATATGCCCCGGTAGATGGTTTGTCATTTAAAATGTCAAGGTCTATCTATCGAGAACTGTAAACAACAAGTGCTAAGTACCGTTAAAGGGATAGTTCACTCAAAACTGAACAATCTGTGTATTTACTGAACCTCATGTTTTTCTATACCTGCAGTGTTTCCCCTGCTATTATTTTAGGAGGGTGGCCCACCCCCCTTGAAGGTGGCCTGCCCCCCCTTGAAGGTCAAGGTAATTTTATTTAATTATATTTTCTCTATGGCGCCAGATCACAACAGAAATCATTTAAAGTTACTTTTCCGATAGAACAGGTCTATACCTTGTTCTTTTATTAAACAAACTATACTGAATAAAAATATAAACGCAACACTTTTGTTTTTGCCCCCATTTTTCATGAGCTGAACTCAAAGATCTAAAACTTTTTCTATGTACACAAAAGGCCTATTTCTCTCAAATATTGTTAACAAATCTGTCTAAATCTGTGTTAGTGAGCACTTCTCCTTTGCTGAGATAATCCATCCACCTCACAGGTGTGGCATATCAAGATGCTGATTAGACAGCATGATTATTGCACAGGTGAGCCTTAGGCTGGCCACAATAAAAGGCCACTCTAAAATGTGGTTTTACTCTATTGGGGGGTCCAGGGGGTCCGAAAACCAGTCAGTATCTGGTGTGACCTCAACATGAGGTGATGGTCGTGGATGAATGGTATAACAATGGGCCTCAGGATCTCGTAACGGTATCTCTGTGCATTCAAAATTCCATCAATAAAATGCAACTGTGTTCATTGTCCATAACATACGCCTGCCCATACCATAACCCCACCGCCACCATGGGCCACTCGATCCACAACATTGACATCAGCAAACCGCTCACCCACATGATGCCATACACGCTGTCTGCCATCTGCCCTGTACATTGAAAACCGGGATTCATCCATGAAGAGAACACCTCTCCAAAGTGCCAGATGCCATCGAATACATTTTAGAGTGGCCTTTTATTGTGGCCAGCCTAAGGCACACCTGTGCAATAATCATGCTGTCTAATCAGCATCTT